TATCGCAGTGTTGTGAGCACTTAACGTATGAAACTATCTGGTGACTGAGACAGTTAAACTTCCCTGTTTAAAACATGCCAAAAATTTAAACTTTCAACAGCACAGACAGCATCCCCAGTAATTTGGATGAACCAACCTGTCAATGGTTTAATAGTAGTAACTCTACTTTAGAATTACTCTAAGAAACTCTTACTTGGTTAACCTGGTGAACAATCAAAAAACTTTTGAAAGGATATTTATAATATGATTTTTTTTCCTGAATGATGTCTGTACTGCACTAGAATGCATTATAAAGCTACCACTGCCTTGTCAGGTACACCGAGGTAAATGCTAGGATCTAAATTCCTTAAGTTTATTGAAGAACCTTCTATTACTAGTTTTTAGTGCCAGATAGCTGAATATGAATGGCAAAGACTTTTTTAAAAATTAAATGTATTGATCTATTAAATCATTTCTTGTTTCAGCAAATTAAATGAAGGCCTGCAAACCTATGTCTACTGGAGAAGAAAAATGCATCTTACAAAGAGCTCTGGCACATTTTTAAAAAACCTGGTTTAATTTCTGTATGCTACTTGGTAATTATGAAACTGATGACCTATTTTTGAAAAATAAGGTGGCAATTAAGAAACTGATTACATATTTTTAAAAAATAAGGCACATGAGAATGAAGTGGGTTAAATGTATATATATTGTAGCACAGGGAAAAGATCAAAAGAGAACTCTTATAAAACATACCTTAAAGTTGGAAAGGTGTGTAGAGATGGGAAGGGGGAAGTGGCATTTATTCCTTGACATCAAGTCTGGTAGTGTTTATGTATCTTCTCTGAGATGTTTTTTAAAGCTGGTAAAAAGAAATCTTTATTGCGATGTAATTCACATAACCTAGATGTACCCTAAAATGTTCAATTAAGTGGTTTTAGTATTTCTGAGCTTTTATTCATTCATATAAACTTTTTCTCATGAGGTTTATAGCAAAAGCTGGATTGAAATTTTGTAGCTGAAACATGAATTTGAGGTGGTATCACTAAAATTAGCATCCTTAAATGGTGACCTCCATGTTTATTAATGCAAATTGCTTATTCATAAAATAATATACTTAATTCATTTGAGACTTGTATATGATAATCAAGAAGCTGGGGATAAACTTTTCCCCAGTCCGTTTCTACTAATTTCATTGATTGTAATTGCATCATGGGAATCAGATTCCCCCTGCAGAATCAGAGCACAGCAAGCTTTTCTACACCATGTACTTAAATGCCCTTTGTGCAACCAGTTGCACGCATGACATCATACCTGTGCGCACAGGTATGCTGTGGCAGGAGAACGTTCAAGTGTTTACATTTGGTCTTTTACTGCTATTCAGGCTTATTGTGAAGACTTCTGAAACTGGGGTCCCCAAAGCCTTGATTCACCTTTCACCTCCATTTTGAAAGGAAAAGCACTGCCAGCATGAAGTATCCCTGAGCTAGCAAACTATGTGCATGAGCGGGTCACTCCTCTGTGGACCACGAATGGCTTCAGGTCAGGAACCCTTTTCTGTCAAGGGCCAGAGTTAACATCTTAGACTTGGGCTACATGTGGTCTCTGTCATAGCCCCCGCCACTTCCCCACCCCCAAAATGTAAAAAACATTATTAGCTCTTAGGCTGTATAAAAAAGCAGACCATAGGTTGAATTTGGCTGACAGTTTTGTTGAAATAAGTTTTTAGGTCTAAGATGGACCCACTCCTGTCTGGGGGCCACATCAGCAAACCAAAACTTTAATAACTTCCGTGTCCCTGTAATGCTCTGCTTGACCGGAAAGTGCATCCAGCCCAAACACTAAGCCAACTCTGGGCTCTACCCTTACCTCCTTGCTCCTATTCTCTGTCCTCCTGCCTTCAGCCCCACGTTGCAGTTCTTTGGGGCCTCTGCAACTGGAGACAGCCTGCTTCATTAAGTGTCAAAGTTTGGATTACCTAAACTGTCATCTTTGATCATCTTTAACAGTCTCTGGCTTGATGAGGATGGGATCCAAAGCTGACTGCTAGTGGCTTTGGGACCAGACACACAGGTAAGGAGCCCACTGAACTCTTTGATTTTACTGTTGCTTTCATCAAAAACGAGAGCAAGTTGCTTTTGGATTTGAGCTCCGTTCACTTGTATACAGCTCTGATCCAAACTTTATGTAAAGGGGGGATATATATATATATGTGTGTATGTATATATACACACATATACACACACGTGTGTGTATATGCATATAAAAAATATATAGTTCCCAGAAAAGTTCCAGGACAGCTGTACTGGGAGCCCATAAGGGGTAGCAACAGTAAGTAGTATAAAAAGCTATTAGAGTGCCTACTACTTTTATAAAGAAAGCTTCTCATTCAAGAATTAAACAGATCAATTGCTAATGGGAATCTTGAAGCCAAAACCACAAGCACTTAAGAGGTATTAGAACACTCGCCACCTGAATCTAAGACTCTTGTGCTAAGCTGTCATGGAACAGTTTAGATGTACACTGTGAAATACCAAAAAACCCCAACCTAGCAGTACATCCCTCTCAGATATTAATTTGCCTTCCAGAGACCTCAGGCTTAGCTAAAGAAACGGGATCCTCAAGTTTCAAAGAA